GCAAACACATAGGATATATATATAAAAAAATTACCACACACACACATATATATATATATATAATAATCAGTAACTGAAAATTCAAACATTAATGTTAAAAGGGGAAATTTTTAGACATAATTTTTGTCAGTGAGCTTGTTAAGACCAAATCTTGTCTCACAAGTCACCCCGCTACGTTATTATCGTAATAAATTACTAAAAAGTTATAAACAATAATAAATTATTAATATGCTACACAAAATGTACTACACTGTATAAATAAAATGGTACAACACACAATAAGCATATATAAGGCACAAACACCATATATATCTAACACAACATAAAACTTTAATGTATGTTAAAATAAATGAAAAGAACAACAACAAAAAACATGATACGTAAGAAAACTTTACTCGGATATCTGTTCCACTCATTCAACCACGAAGACACATCTGCAGTATAAAAGCGAAACTAATACACATGCTTAAAACATGTCCTACAGCGCGAAATGTAAAGATTTAACTTTTTAAAACGAAGAAGCGACATGTGGAATTATCACACTTGCAAAGTTTGAGAAGAAAAAAAAAAAAGAACAGATCAGGCAGTTTTGAAGGGGTACGCATTAGTTTTTTGTTAGTATTTTCAAACATGTTTCTTGTATTCTCGCGACAAAACAAGATGTCAAACTCTCGGAGATGTCAAGGGAACTCTGCCGTCTTTCTCGTACTACTTTGTGTTAAATATTACTTGTTATTTTCCGTTTTGTGTTTTAAACAAAACAATAAACTGCTGTTGGTTATTTTGTGTGTGCTCCTAATTTTATATTTTCAAATAAAAAACAGTCTACCTTATTTATATTAATATTTTAATAGTAGTATATGTGTGTATATGTATGTGTATATACATATACTATGTTACTATGCGTGCGCTTATTAATTCCTCCTCCTTTAGATACGTAAAAATGCTAAAGGAATTCGATCAACCAACACTAAGGCAAAGCTCGTAGGTTAAGAAATGACTCCTTATAGTAGAAAGTTAAATAATTCATACTAATTAACATGCTTCTATCAATTATCTCTGCTTACAAAATGTGTATGAGCCTATTTCTAATAAAGCTCCTTGTATGGACTCAATAAGCACTAGCATGATACATGTTTTAACAGTTTACATTTTTTGAGTACATTTCTATGTTATTGTGAACAATTTCAATCTGTAACATATAATCCTTGTAAAATGAGAACGAAAATATTGGCCACTGACCACATTTTTATTAGTTAAGCTTAACCCATGGCAACTCGATCATAAATTACATTTTCATAACTAATTTCAGGAAGAAATTATTAATCCTATATTAATTCACGTCGTGTGTTCGCGAATTTGTTCGTCCGGGAACTCCTCCCATAGTTTTGGAGCTAGTAGAACCAAACCTGACAGGAGGATTTAGGGTAACCCGAAAGGCGTCCTTACTTATATGACCTACTCCCTCTACCAAAGTTGCTAAAACGTGCCAGAAAGGTCACCACGCACGATGAAGATCTAAGAAAAGGTTTACAGGATTTTTTTCACACCCCGAATAAGGCATTGGATTTTGTATAATTAGCCCCCCTCGGGATCCAGGCTTGAAAATGTGTCATATCGCCACTAACAAGCTAGTGGGACCAAACGTGACACACGTGCGCAGATACCACGGGAAAGTGTCCTTGGGGTAATTATAGAAGTACTTGAGGATAATGGAGGAGCCTGATCTGTACATTAGTTCCTCTGTGAGCCATGAGGATTCCCTGAATTAAGCAGTGGAGCTCGCGTAGTTTATACTAGTATCTTATAACGGGATTTAATGAAGTACGTACGATGTCTATACGTCTTCAATGAAACGTCATGTACATTCGTATTACCTTTAAAGTGCCCGCTACTGTCACAGCGGTATGTCTGCGGACTTACAACGCTAGAAACCTGGTTTCGATACCCGTGGTGGGCAGAGCACAGATAACCCATTTTGAAGCTTTGTGCTTATCCAAACAAACAAACAACTATTTTTACAGAAATCGTGCGGTTCGTTATTTTGTAGTTTTCGTTTCTACTGTGTGAAAAATGCAATGGCATTTAATATTTATATATCAACTCCAATTTTATGTCATACACGGACATACTGCATAGTTTCATGACCAACTTTCGTAAAACGTGGGCAGCTAATATCCATATTAACTAGGGATGCACGGGTAGTAAAATATGGTCGAATACCGGGTACCCGGTCACTAAGCTTCGGCCAGGACTGGGTGTCAACTGGGATCGAGTTCTCCCCTCGCGTCCCCCAAAAACAACAACAAACAACATACACAAAAATTAGAGAGAAAAAAAAGTCAATTGATGTGTGTTACATTTAACCGAATAAACACCAACAGAACAAAAAGTTTTACTTTTAATACCTAGCCCCAACTTCTCAAACCATGCCTGTTATTAACCTCTATTGTTCTCTGAATCCCCGACTTTTAGCGGGTGGTCAGTCTGTTGTTCGGAATACGTTTTTTTTTAACTAAACCAATTATTGACCCGTCCATCCCTAATATTAACCCTTCAACTGCGTTTGACATCATATGATGTTACCATTTTTCGCGCAACATTTTGAATGGCTCGCCGCAAAAATTCGCATGGGGTGGTAGGCAGATTTACACAAGCCGCAAACGAAGGGTTAAATGTTCATGATAAATCAATTAATAAACCACTATTAGTATTGGATCTAAGTTTTAAAAAAGGTTATTTCATGAAAACTGATATTTTTTGTCGCACCTTGTGGGTATTTAAAAACTACAGTCATTCATTATTTATAATTTTTACTGTAAAAAAAGATGGGGGGGGGGTAAAAATCACACATCTGATTCTTCCCCCAAGAGAGACAAATACAACTTAAAATTATGTGTATTAAGTGTACTTTAAATAAAGAAATAAAAGCTACAAAAAAAATGCCTTACCCTGAACTCCAACTAATATTAATGGAATGTCCTGAGAGTTCCGGAAATGAGACATCTTTGTGTAGTAATTAAAGACAGCATTGAAGGAAGCTTCATTTTCCAAACTGAACACAAATATCACAGCATCCACCCAGCAACTGAACTAGAAGACAATGAAGCAGTATTTGTGCAAACGTAAAAGTTCATTGTATACAAAGAAATATACAGTTCTGTACGTTAAATAAATACTACACAATCAGTCATAAAATACCGTTCTCAGTTTGCGTAAGCTTTGAATTCTAAACACGTGGCTTTGAAATAATCCCATTTAAAGAGCCATCTTATATTTGTCACATACGAATTCTCAATTTACCAAATATGGGAAAAGAACCCTTTTCTGTGTTAAAGTGAAATTCCAAAAAAAAAAAAAAACACTTTAAAATGATATAATTAACACAAAAAAAACTATTTTCTATGGTTAGCAGAAATTTGAGTAAGCACTCTTTAAATGCAGGAAAATGAAAATAACCGATTTCATTCCTATTGAAAAGTATTCCAATATAAAAGAAATCTTTAATTGTCAGCAGTTTGAGAACTTATAACTTTTAAAGAAGTTTTTAAATAAACCTTATTTTTGTTATTGGTGCATTCACAATCTTAGAAAAAATTGTAATTTTAAGGTAATGCTCAAAAAAGTTTTGAAAAAACAAAAACATTCTTGGACAGTTTTATATTCTTATTTTTCCAGAGCTACGTGATAAAAAACCAGACAACTAATAAACTTGCACAATGTAAATTATCTTTCTACTGTAACACATAAATATGAAAATTTAATTATATTTTTTTATAGATTATCGTGTTATCATAAAAATTAACAGATTATATACCGTTTGTAATCTATGCAGCTGGATACGTTCAGGTAATTTGTCATTTTCTAATATAAGAGCTCAAAAATACTTTGAAATTTTGAAGTTTCAACTTATTATTATGTTTCTTTGCAAGGAAAGGCTTAAAACTTCTAAATAATTAAAAAAAAACATTAAAAATCACGTTAATCATATAGTTGTATCTGAACAGATTTCATAACACGAATGTATATCTAAAACAGTAGGTTGCGGGAACATCCTATACTCATAAAAGGTAGCAGTCTCTAATCCAATGAAAATTTATTTATTTTTATAATTCCAGTAACATGGGAAACCATAAGATGCGAGTTTATGCATGATAGTTTTATGACGAAGCACTTTTTAATATTTTCAAATATCACACAATTACACTGGAAAATGTTTATAAAACCATGTTATATCGATGTTTAGGGATTAAACCTTTTATTATTTTGTAATTTCAAAACACTAAAATGTAATTAAGACCCACTTTCAGTCTTAAAAACTTAAAAAAGTATTAAAACATACAGAATCATACCTCAAGAGGAAAACTAAAAAAACTAACGTTAATATTGTTTTCTTGTAAAAAAAACGAAAAAAGTATTAAAACATACAGAATCATACCTCAAGAGTAAAACTAAAAATAACCCGCGAACTGACGTTAATATTGTCATCTTATAAAAAAACGAAAAAATTATAACATTTACAACTTTATGAGCTCCTGAAACATTCAGTGTTACATGTTCTCGTATTTACCTTTATCTCCTCAAAAATCTTATTGACTTAAAAGCGCCCGTCTTCTTTCACTAGCACTTTCTTCAATAATAACGTGTACACTTTACATAACAGTGAACCTATTACACAGAGTTGTTCACGATCTGTGATAACAATATGCATTTCAGGTAACTTTATCCTTGGTCATTCCAGTAGCTTGTGACTACGGACTAAAATCCACGACCCTCTTGTTACAACATAGTTGAAGTGTAGGATTTCAAGTGCAGAGAGCACCTAAAATTAACCCATCCAAGAAGAGTTAAAAAACTACAGCACCTTCCGACGCAAGTCTCCTTTAACGCAATAATAAACACATATAGTGCATGAAATTTTAGCTTTTTGAAGAAATGGATATCTGTAGTGTTGAACTGGATCTGTTCTTCTTCCTTATCGGGATGTGGGAGGGTCGGGTTTGATGCTTCTATCTCTTCCTTCCCCTTACACTGGTGTTTTATTTCACTGTGTAAATGTTGAACATCGCATTAATGTCAAACCGGATCTGTGAAGCAGAGGTTTGGCTTGTTTTGAATTTCGCGCAAAGCTACTCGAGGGCTATCTGCGCTAGCCGTCCCTAATTTAGTAGTGATAGACTAGAGGGAAGGCAGATGGTCAATACCAACTCTTGGGTTACTCTTTTACCAATGAATAGTGGGATTGACCGTCACATTATAACGCCCTACGGCTGAAAGGGCGAGCATGTTCGGTGACGGGGAGTCGAACCCGCGACCCACATATTGCTGGTCGAGAACCCTAACCAACAGGCCATGCCAAGTCTGTGAAGTAAAGAATGCCGATTCCATCTACAACATCTACAGGGGGAAAAAAAGGAGGGGAGGTTCTTCACTAACTGCTACCAGTCGCACACGAGTGTTGGTGAAACAAGTTTGACAACTTGTCACCGAACATAACCCAATAACACTGCGGTCCATTGTAGCTAAAGTATGAACTTCCCTCCGAACTGTAAACAAAAAAATTATCAACGGTTTAGGTCTACAAAAGCAATATACGGGCAGTGTTGACAAGCTTCTTCAAAGTACTTAACCGAATGGAAATTCAACCAAAGAAAACTATACATGCAGTGCTTGGCATATGACAAACGGAAATAAGTCATTACACTGGATGATGTATATGTCCACTTAACAGTCTGCAAAAGCCAGGGTAGTTTATCATTGCCCTGCCAATGATCAGTGCTTAGTTTCTGTCAAAGCTCTCCGGATCTTAGATTCAGAACCTGTTTGGGATTTATTTTTTTTTTACATCTAAAGGCGGAAACACAATAATTCATTTTCAAATTGCCTCATCTGCATTGCCAATCATATTTGAATGACGTAGTCAAGCACATTACTACTTCCAAGTAGTAGCCTCCATAACGTTTAAATTGTTATCTTCCAAAACTCAACGTATCCTCCACCTGTCAACAAGGATCTAGTATCACCACCCCCTAGAAATTAAGCATTGTTGATTATACACCATAAAATGGAACAAAGAATGGTGCAGAAACTGCGAAAAAAGATTTATCCTGGCTACAAGTTACAACTATAGTGTTAAGTTAAATACCGGAATAACCGAGAAAAATGAGAAGTTCAACTACTCTACTTACTATCAGCCTCACGTGCTGATACCATCCGCAAGGAAATACCATCTTTGTGCGGATTGAATGTCAATAAGGTATGGCCCCATCACGACAAAGCAGCTAGCCATATTACGTACAGTTCCTCCACATGATGTGGGTAAAAACAGGAATTCATACTACCATTGACAGACGTTTCCCATATACATCTGTCATTTTGGGGTTGTTCAAACAGGTCTTCGTCCGCAAATGGTTGATAAACTTTAGAAAACACGTTAAGAGAAGTGGACAACACTGACCACAGTGGATTGCACAAAAGCCTTCTGCAGTAGAAATTGCACTAAAGAGCAATAGTTAATAGTCATCATACAGAACACCATCGGCGCTGGAAGAAGTTGCAAGTCCTAGACACTTATCCTTGCATCATTAAAATGAACCTTAACCTCACCCGTATAAGAGATGCTTTCCGTTTTCTGCCAGCAAACTGTTTATACAGCAATAATTAACCTTTTCTCTACATACTGAAATGTTAACATGCCCATAAAACTAAATTACCCTCTTACTATGCGAAAACGTATGGTAATTGCACAACACTTATGAAAATATACTTTCTTTGTAAAAACGAACCCATGTTTGGTGAAAAACATAATTCTTCTTTCCTTCAGCAGTTCTGTCTTAGAAACTCTCAAGTGTAAAGAATGTTAAGCATTCCACAATGCTGCGTGGATAAGCTGATATGTAAGTACATATAAACAAAAATCCTTTGTATTAAGTTTGTTTTTATAAGTCAAATTAAAAAACAATAATCCGTCACAGATACGAGAAAATTGTAACTGGGGCATGATCTCTCAATCCTCACACTATTACCCAAACACTTTTTCTGATGTTGGAGGGAAGTAGAAGAAATTGAAATGAACATTTTGGATACTCTACTCAAATAATTTGTTTACTCAACTGTAATTGGTAATGTTCGCTCTACTTACAAACACATGTTGTGTAAGTGACTTTTTAGCTACGGAATAGCGACTTATAGAATGTCTCAGAGTTTTTTCAAGTACAAACTTTTAGCTCATAGCCCCGTCATCTCTTGACCGATTTGAGATCTAGTTACAGTTTTGTACTCAGGAGATCAATTGTTCGTTTGTTTGTTATGAATTTCGCGCAAAGCTACACGAGGGATATCTGCGCTAGCCGTCCCTAATTTAGCTGTGTAAGACGAGAGGGAAGGCAGCTAATCATCACCACCCACCGCCACCTCTTGGCTACTCTTTTACCAACGAATAGTGGGATTGACCGTCACATTATAACGCCCCCACGGCTGAAAGGGCGAGCATGATTGGTGGGATGGAGTTTCGAACCCGCGACTCTCAGATTGCGAGTCGAGCGCCCTAACCACCTGGCCATGCCGGGCCCCAGGTTATCAAGCCCTTTCGATTGATGTATTTGACTAAGACCAAGGTCTCATAGATTAATTTATCTAATCTTGCCTGAGAGAATTTCAATTTGAGGGTAGGTAGGCTGGTAATAAAATCGAATTAGGTATATGCGCGCTCAAGGCTTGGTGTTGCCAGCGCATAAAATATTGCTAATAAAAAGGAAGAAAAAAAAAGGGGTCTTATAGTTTAATTTGCTCTAATCCTGCCTAAAAGAATTTCAAGTGCCGCGGCTACTGAGGATTCTCTCTCTTGTTCCGTCTTTTTGCATCAATTACAAGGAGAAAAAAAAATCAGAACAATAAACATAGTAACATATCCATATTATGTCATTACATTCAAAAGTTCAACAGATTACAATTGTTCATTTAATCTTTAACTAAACTAAATGCAGCAATGACATTTAACAATAAAAAAATAATTCAAGCCATACAAGACATGATTTTGAGTTCATGACGTCACAAACGTTCACTGTGAGTTTAGTTCCAGCTGGAAACGAGCA